TAGTTTGATGCAAAAATAATGTCCGTAGCATACGCTACCAAAGCATGTGAATATAGAAATGTACGAATGAGTTACCATTCGATAGAACGAGGCAAGCTCCACAAAGTGACTGTTAAAAATCTACCTAAACATGTAGTCTACGTGAGTTTGATGTCAAAATCTGTGAGCATTTAACTAACTCAAAAATCGAATCTTCGAAAATCCTACAAGACTCCCAATTGATCATCACTTAGTAGACACATAGAGGCGTTTATTTATATACTTGCTATAATTTTCTTTCACTTAGAATTTTAGAAAAAAAACATCGAAAATCGGCAAACTTCGTCTCTAACTCCGCCCCTCCCCTCTAATTTAGATATTGTGTACCACAGCTTCGGGAAGCATAACTGTAAAATTTCAGCCTAGTATCCGCTAGTTTTTGAGAAAAGTCACTTTTAGCTTTGAAAACCCATAGTCTACGGTTATTATTTTTGCATCAACTTAATACAATATAACATTTATAGGTCACAGATATCTCATCCACATTTCTTTAAGGCTGACTACGGACTATTCCCTACAGATTGAGTTCAAACAGATTATCATTACGTTTTCTCAGAGAATTTACAGGAAGAAATCACAGTAGTTACATACTGAGCACTCAAAAAAAGGCAGTAAAATTGCATAAAAACGACAAGCAATCGTAATCAAAAGCGAAACCGTGACTGATAGGGATTCATATCACGGGAAAAAATTTCAAATCAATGCTATCTGAGCATACAGACTTAGAATCTTTAATTGCATTGAGCTGCTTCATCGCTCCACGGGGAGAGTGCTATCGGGATCAAATTCACCACCGTTCTCTGCTCGCGATGAACGGCTCCTCGATAGTGATAGTCGACGGCTGACCTTTTTCTAAATACAGTATGTTAATGTGATTCACGAAAAAACAAAATGTCGATCTGCTCTTTTGGCAACTTGGAACTGGAATGCTAGGGAGAGAAATGAAGAAGAGAGGAAGCTTAAATAGACAGGATTGCATCTAGTTGATTTTGTTGATTTGTGCGAATTCGAGTTGTGACGAGAGTTGCATAGACTTATTAAGGCAAGTAAGATGCACTGATGTTGATTGAATTTAATTGACAGGAAATTATCAGCAAGATAATTTCCTATCGATTTTACCGACGTCGAAAATATTCGAAGGAGATGATTGGTATAAAAGAGTGAGTAAGAACGCATACGAAATAAATTGTAAATGTTATTTCTTTCATTCCCATGGATTCATACACTCTCCGTTACGAGAAGCTGAGACTATGAGAGAGGAATCAAACAATACGAATGCATGTGGAAATCTTGATAACTATACATGATTGATCTAATACATTTTTGCTGACCATTATCGGAAGAAATAACTTTTCTTGGTTCTCTTGAATTTAATACTCTTGCTTTGGGAAGAGTATTAACCTTCCTCAACATTGTTGCTGAGATAGAAGAAAAATTAACTCAATCGAAGTGTTCAGTTCAAGAAAAAGTATTTTAAGCGGGTAAGAGTAATTGCAAATAAGAAAAGAAAACAACAAAGCGTCATGTGGCTTGACTATTTTGAAAGGAGTTGGCAAGATCATATTTTTCTGAAGTCCAGTTTTCGTTCACAAGAATTTATGAATCAAAGTTATCGTGGTAAGAAAGATCTTGCTTATAAATCATAGCTATCGTTACGCTCCATATTCGAAAAATCCTGGATGAATGCCTGCGAAAGAGGCCGTGCTAACAACGTATCCTTCCATTTACAAAAATTTCTGTCCCCACGCTTCTCTTCGAAAAAACATCTCGACTGTCACTGTATGTACAGTTGATGGTTGCAAGAGAACGGCATGATTGATAGTCAGAAAATTTAGTTGATGCTGTTAAACACTTTATGAAAAAAAGACTCACTATGAGTCTCACGGCGGAACGGGAACGGCGTCGTCCTCTTTGAGGAGCCTGTAAAATAAGATTTACGTTGATGCTGAGAAAATTTCAGGAAAGCAGAAACTGGCGTGGAACTGACGTCTGCTTTCATTCGAAGTTCAGCCTCGCTTTCAACATGCTCGAGAGCCTGAAAAAAAAACATCGGAATTGAGCTCTGTTAGCAATCTTGTAATTCCAGGAATTGGCGAGAGCTTCCTCAGCAAAGCCGGCAAAAATCGAAATGATAGTAATTTTATATTTATACCAACACTGAACTTTGTACCTTTGCTTTGATCAGAATTTTTAGAAATGCGTAGCTTAGTGTACCTTCTGATCTAAGGAACAGTCCAGTTGTGTATCCGTACATTCGTCAACTTTTTTTTCCTCCTTGTCGTTGTTGATCTAAAAAATCATATTTGGCAAAGCATTTCATTAAACTGATAAAGCTACAAACAGTGTAATTCTAACCTTTATGGTTAAAGCTACCGGTGGAGGAGTAGGTTTCATTTTCAATCTGTAAATGTTCGAATGCTAAGTACGAAATCATCTACGCATACAAATTTGAGTAGAAATTCAGAAGATGGTGGAGAAATGTAAGTTGAAAAAAAAA